AAGGAGAAGTGCTCACTAACACAGATTTAGACAGATTTGTGAACAATTTCTGAGAGAAATAGGCCTTTTGTGTACATAGAAAATTTCTTAGATCTTTGAGTTCAGCTCGTGACAAATGGGGGCAAAAACAAAAGTGTTGCGTTTATAATTTTGTTCAGTGTATATATAAACAACTGAAAACATAAAAAAGCCATGACTACATGAGGACAAAGAGGTAATGACAGTCTTTTTATTAATGCTCTCAGGAGGAAACCTGTGCAGTGCAGTACGTTTAACTCAAATTCGCCAGTAAGCAATCACTAGAGGGCGCTCTGTAACTGTTACCTGCAAACGTTCACCCATGCCTTGACATGAGTGTAGAATTGCATTTTGAAAGAGTACTAACAGGGCAAAATGCTACCAAAATAATAATAATAAAATTAAATAAAAAAATATACATAACTTAGTGTTTAATAATCGTTTGCAGAATGTCAACATACTTGTCAAATATTCTAGAATTGAAAATCATTCCTGTTGTGAAAGATTAAAATTCTTAAATAATAACAGTACTTGTTTGACGCTTTAAAATATTTTTTCCTTTACTCTACGAACTAAGTCAATAAGCCTGTGAGATCTATAATTAATCGGAAGGCCCCGCCCTCTGACTATGCGATTGGCTGAAGCGGACGTTCAACTACAGCTGATGGCTTGCAAATGGTTTATTGAACTGTCAATCAAGCCCGTTCAGACGGCTAGTAGTTGACTGATATAGTGAGAGCAGCACGCTGGAGGAGCGAGTGGATGTATGTGTGTGACTTTCATCTCATCTTCTGGACGTCTTGCGGAGAAAGGAATCACTTTGATTGGCTGGATTTTTGTGGATAATAATGCATATATGTGTTTTCTTTTTTTTAACCATGTCGTATTAACTTAATTGGAGTCATGCATAACTATTTTGGAGCTTGTTTCTCAGTAGTGTTCTTAATTTTGACGTTTTGGACTGAGGTGAGTTAAACTTCCTTATGCCTTTTTAAGTCCATCTTTTCCTTCACTAGTTGTAAAGTCAATAGATTAAACAACCGTTTTACACAACTCAAACTCATTCATTTTTGTCAAATTAGATTTTGGGATTCTTGTCCTAATAGAATTATCCTGCTGTCAGTGGAATCATGTGATCCTTGAACTTTAAAGGCGTTTTAAAACCAGTCCGCGTGCACTGTGCACCAATGCATCTACATCCAAACTTTTTAAGCATTGCCTAAAGTAATCATAGAGTAAAGTGCATATTTCATTATTGCGCGAACAGATTCATATTTGTGCGAGTGCACTTGATTGGTATATTTGCAATACCCGTATAGCCACAAAAGATCACTCCTTAAACAAATGTAAGTCAGTGCACTGTATCCGCTATATTGTGTTGAGCTGCATGTTCTGTCTTGTATTTTTATAGGAGAATGACAAATTATTCTGTGAAGTCTTACAAAGCCAGGCTGTTTTCATTTCATATTTTAACTGCTGTTAATGTTATTTTTAGGTGTGCCATTCGTCGGGTTATTTGGAGCTCCAGTTGGTCAGTGTGGAGAATAACAGGGGTGAGCTCGCGAATGGAAACTGCTGTGACGGCGCACGGAGCGCACGAGACGGTCTGTGCGACCGGGACGAATGTGACACGTACTTAAGAGTGTGTCTAAAGGAATACCAGTTGGAGGTCACCACATCTGGCTTTTGTACGTACGGCACTGGAAGCTCGAGCGTGATCGGAGGGAATACGTTTCAGTTGAAAGGATTCAATGGAAACCCAAACAGGGCCAATGACCTCGGGACCGTTATCATCCCCTTTCAGTTCGCCTGGCCGGTAGGTGTTCACCGATACCCTCTTTCATCAGCTCTTCAACAACAAACAAACCCTTTTTGTGAACGTTTTCTATATAGTTATCTTTATATAGCCTACACTGTGAAAAAATGTCTGCTCGATTTTATGAGTTTTTGAACTCGAATTTTCTTCAGTAATTAAATGCAAGGGTGTCAAAACTTAACACTGCTGGTGTGACTTTTATTTTACTTTAAAAAAGAAAGAAAGAAAGAAAGAAAGAAAGAAAGAAAGAAAGAAAGAAAGAAAGTAAGCAGCTAAACTTAAGGTTTAATTTTTTTTACAGTATAATGGTGTTCATATTGCAACCAAAATATGATCGTAACCAAATAGCTTTTCCTATGCTAGCAATGCAATTGAAAACACATTATAGGCCCATATGACATTTGGGGAGTATCAAATCATAAAAAATATAAAGTCCAGCTTATGTTAAGGATTTCATGCTATATGAAGTATTATCCACCTTAAGATGGTATCTGTGGAAATGGTATCTGGTCTAAGATTATTATTAAGCGGAGTACTAACTGGTTTATATTTCCACTTAAAGCCAGCTTGACCACCTTAAGATCAGGTTTGTTGTTGGTCCAAGATGGTACTGCTAGATTTGACTAGCTAACGACCGGTTTAGACCAGCTAGAAACCACCTTGTTCCAAAACATGTTTCCAGCAGATGGACAAGACGCACAAGTGAACATGCATTTGGTCTTAACAACACCAACTGGTAGCCTACGCTTTAAACACTCATTGCAAAGCAAATGTTTGACTCGATGGAAAGAGGAGAGCTCGGTGTCACGGTGGTCACTGGCGTTAATCATAGAGATGATGAGTAGAGCATCTCCGGTTACGGCGCGCGTTTGGCTACGAGAGCGGCGGCTGGTGCGTCTCTCTCGCGCGCGCGGAGTATACAGTTACACGTTTAACTGATGGTGTCGTATTTATAGGACGTAGTGTGTTTTACTTCATGACATGCGGACGGGGCTGCAAGAAGACCATGTATTGCGGAGTTTAGAAGGAAGACGAGTCATTCATCTATCCATCGGTCAGTGGCGGTTCTTGTATGGCGCCCTGGGCGAACCACCCCGTCTGCCACCTCTAAATGAAATTAATTTTACATAAATTTGGCAATTTTATATAAAAGTAGCCTATATATTTAGATTATTACAAATTCAAACAAATAAAGAAATAAATACAAAAAATAAAGTGAGTAATGTTACATTTGTTTAAAAAATACATTGTTACAATATCACATTTTACTGTCTGATTATGTAGGCTAGTTGGACAGAAAAAATGATTGTTGTTGCCCTATATGTGTAATAACAAGAAAGCAACATAGCATAACATTAGACATATATGAGCCTATTTTAGCTAGATGTGATAGCTGCATACATACCAATTATCTTTAGCGCATTTCCCCTCCTTTTTTTTTTTTGAAGTGACGTAAAATAAAGGGAATGAAGTGAAAATGAAATGAATGAGCTGAAACGCCGGAGTTTTGTTGAGTGTGCGCGCTAGCTGACTGACTGAATTCTGCACTCTCGTGTATTCTCTCATCATAAAAAAAACAAAGTGCAGATGAATGTGTGATGTAAGTAAGAAATTCCTTTCACGGTGTAGACAGCTTCAGTGATTATAACGGGAGTTTTTTTGAACTGCTAGAATATTGTCAGTTATGTTCTTTGATCATTTAAATGTTCTTTACTGCTTTCCTATATTTTTTTATTAGCTGTTTGAATAACTGTGGAAATGAAAGCGTAGCTTACAATGTTTTTATTAAACTGTGATCAAGTTAAATACAAATTCAGTCGTATTAAAATACTTAATGACATGACCCCCATACTTGCTAAAAAGACAGGTTTATGATGCGCATTGTGTAAACATTACGCCCCATTCACGCCCTATTCACACGGGGCGTTAGCGTTAACGCTTGAAGGAGGGCGTTTCTGAAGCTTGGTTCTGACGCGACCGTCAATCACATTAGTCGTCTGGTGTTGCATGAACGCGATTGGCTAGCGTCTGAGCTAGGGTATTTGCATAAGGTCATCTGATTGGCTGACGCCTGCGTTGGTGCTTGAAAAGTTTAAAAGTTTTCAACTTCTGCCGCGAGCAACGGACCCAACGCGACACGACGAACCCACAATTCATTTCACCAACGCTTGACGTCACTCCATTCAAAGTAAACGAGAGGCTTTGATGCTGACTCCCCATGTGAACATCTTACAAGATCAGATATTTGTCAATGAGCTCAGAATCTGTGAAGCAGCAAATACTCAAGCATGGTCTTGTCAGTCATCTCTCCTTATTCTCGACCTGTGTTCAGTGAAATCTGACTCCTGCAGCTCTTGTCGGATGCAGGGTTGCTAAGTCCGCGTTTTATCAACAGAATTGGGTTAAAGGTTTGAAATATTGCATAAATTACATTTGACTGAAATGCTTGTATTGAAACATTTTGCATTCTACTTATGATAAAACTTTCATGGACTTCTACATTAACTGTTCCCTCCTGGTGGAATGACCTGCCCAACTCAATCCAAGCAGCTGAGTCCTTAATATTTTCAAGAAACGGCTGAAAACACATTTCTCATCTTCATTTGCAACTCTAGCACTCTCTATTCTAATGCTACTTCTAATTTTATCTCCTTGTTTTTGTTTTTATTAAAAAACTTGACCCTCTAACATTTGCACTCTCTATTCTAACTACTTGTTTTATTTATAAAGAAGAGCCTCTAACACTAGTATTCTCCATTCTTTCTCTATTCTTTCTACTTTTTTTATTTTTTCTTTATTATAAATAATGACCTTCTAACACTAGCATTATCTATTCTTTTTCTGTTCTATTGACTTGTTTTAT